TTTTAATTTTTTTTAAAGGCATTAAATCTTAAATTTATATAATAACTTATGTAAAATATAAAAAACTTCCTTTTAAATGTTTGAATAAATTATTGTATCATTGTGTAAAGGTGATAACTCTAATAATGTGATTTTCAATTATTCTGTATACACGACATAATAAATAACATACTTTCAGTAATATTTTTCGATCTGTATAAAAGCGATATAGCTTTTAACGATGTAACCATGTGGACTTCTGAATAAATAAGAAATTAAAAATATTAGTTTAAGGTACATTTTTTTTACTCGCACTCATTTATATGAGTACTACTACTTATGTAGTAACAAATTGTACACGTTAAGTTGACGTTTATTATCAACTATATTTTTCGTATTTTCTGGCTAAAATAACACTTTTTATTTCTTTTGAAAGACGAGAAACTAGTTAGGTAGGTAAATATAACAAGAGTCAATCTTTACACAGTGAATATAAAAGGTCTGCTAACCATTTCTTACGAATGATACTGATGTTTCTAAAAATATGATATTATAAAATGTTATGCAATGAGCGTATCCTATAAAAAAACATGGTAACATAGATGATAAATTTAAACTGAACACAGCAACATGGAACACATTAACAGGTGTAGGATAAATCATAACAACATTGCAATAGCGATAAAAATAATAAGTATAGGAAAATAAATGAGTAAATGATAATAAATATAATAAAAGTATTGTTACAGAGATGAAAATAATAAATAAATAACAGTGTAAACAGGAATAAAGTAGTTAAGAGAGGTTTTAATAATAATGGTTCAAAAAAAAAAGTTAAACACCGACAAAGAAAATTTATTGATAAGAATGTTATCTCATTTGTACAAAAATTAGAAAGCATGTAATTGGTATGAGGAACGGAAGAATGTTCGAACGTGTAAATACGAATGATTTAGTTACTAAGTTTTGTCAATATTGGACTGATCACCCAAATATTGATGATACTTAATCTGTGCGACTTGAAATGTGTGAGAATGATGCAAGTTAGTATATAGAAGTGGGGCACGAAAGTATATAAATAAAGAACAAGGTAATGAAGAAATAAAGAAGGAATAAATATTTATGGCAATAATAAAAATAAATAAAAATATGACATTGACCAATAAGTAATGGAGAGATATGGGAACGTTCAACACTGGTATAGCGTATAGTCCTCGAGCAGGGTACGTTTCCGTGATTGGACGATGAAATCGGGCGTAACGGGTACTAGGGAACAATACCTTCAGTACAAGTGATGTACACGAGTTTACACATATTAGTACTGTTAGGGACCATGGAAGTCTTAAATTTGTTACCCTTAATAATGAATGGTATATGGAGGTCATATCGTTCATTGGATCACAGTGTGAACGTAGTTTTCCTCAGTGACAATTGTTGGAGTCCTTTGAAAATGACTTAAACGTAGACCTCAAGGTTGTGCGCACAACCCAAGGTACACTTTTACCTTGATATAATTACGATACAAAGTTATGTACCAACAAAATGAAATGAATGTTACGAAAATGTAATATAATACCCAAATAAATGGGGGGCCCATATGTATGTGTATAAAGTACCCGCATGATAAATATCATGAAATGAAATATAATTGAAGTGAATTGAAACTCCGGTTCCCGATATTTAATAAATAAATACATATATGCGTGAATAGAGAGTAATAAAGCGAGCTAAAAGTCAAAATATAAAAAAAGAAAAAGTACGTACAAGATTTATGAAAAGAAATGATAATAAAAAAGGCCTAACAATCTACAAAAGTACAAGGTAATAAGGGGATCCCCGACCAAATCCATGGGGTTGGATAGATGGTTATTTTGCATTTCTATATTAGGACTATTAACGCTACCCAAAATGCTACTAGCAAGTTGCACATATAACAGCTATAGGGTTCGATTCGCACAACTACACGTAAACAAATAAAAATATATCAACCCAATATGATAAGTACACTTTCGCGTAAATTTATATAAATTTACGAGATTTTTTCATATTTAGGCACATTGATTCGTATTTACAATGATTCTACTTTAAATAATTTTTTTTCTGTCTCATGTTTTCTTATGTAAAAAGTGTACAATTTTGAACTACATTTATATAAAGCTTATTATAATCAAGTCCAAAGGTTATCGATACACTATTATTGTAAATTGTATAATGTAATCGTTTTTTTTTCTATAAAAAGGCAACGAAAACCTAAAATTGTGTCACCTGCTTGAAATAAAATTGGCTTTTCCAATGTAAATAAATATTTTGTAAAAAAAAAAACTTTAGCTGTGTACCTAACAGTGTATTCTCTTTTTATATAAATTTCTGTCCCAATTAAGATAAACGTATTTCTTAGAAGTAAAAGTAATATTTTATTACTAACAATGCAACTATTTTTAAATATCTGTTCCAAGTTTTAAGGTATATTTTACTTGCATTCATATTATAACATAATATGGAAGTTACTTAATGTTAGGTATGAATCACCACACCTTGTGATCATAGTCCGATGTAATTGCAAACGTAGCCTTATACGTACCTACCTACTTAGAAATTTAAAACGTAGGTGTCACAAACCGCTTACGCGACTGGGATTGCAAGTTGTATTTTGATTCCCGTTATTGCTGATAGCGATGATATTTGCGTTGCATTACATTATGTTTTTTGCTCTTTTCATATTTACATGAAATGTAATATTATCGGTGTTATATTCATTAAACCTTCAAATCACATGCTTTAACTTTTATAAGTCATTAATTTCTGAAAATATAGTAGAATATTAATGTCTAACCTATTTGTGTGGATCATGAAAGCAATAGTTAAACAAATATAAAGGTATAAATAAATTAAATATAAAGCATATACAATTATGAATACAAATGTGAGTAAATATATATAAAGGTAGAGCAGGTACTGCTTAATATGAAATGTAGGGGGAAGTCCCCTAAGCCCGGACGGCTCCTAAAGCCGGACAGAATCTGAATCAGTGCGAAAAAGCGCGCCAATTCGTTGCTTGAGTCGAGGTTAGAAAGCGTTTCCCAAGTGAAGTGTGGGGGGAGCATGTCAATAGTTAGTGCTGACTCGTTCGACGTGGAGCGTGTAGCAAATTTTAAGGTAAGTAAAAATTTTGTTCGAAGTAATTTTTTGGGTTCTGTAAACAGTATTTAAAGTATGGGATGATAATCATTGTTATTAATTATTATTGCTATTGTACTAATCTGATATAACCCAGGTGTTTTTTTAAGATTCATAACACATAATGTGAATGAGAATTTTTCTTGTATGTACCTAAGGGTCCCTAAGTTCGGACACTCTCAAAGTCCCCTAATACCGGACAGTTTTACAGTAAGTTTATTTTTGTTATAGTTTTTATTTTTGTATTTTGTTTTTCAGATTCAACATGGACAAACCCAAACCGAGTTGTGGGAATACCCCCAAACATGAAATATAAAAAAAAGCTCAGTTAGCTACATTTCTGATTTTTGCACGTTGTACAATGAAAGTTTTGTAATTTTTTAGAAACCGTTCCTAATTATGACCAAAGTTAATTACAATTAAGAATAGTTATCTTTATAAACAGCTGATTTGATCAATTTTAATAGATATTCTTACGAATTGTTTGTTAAAATAATGTTTAGGTTTAAAATTGAACGAAAAGTTGGCTGACCGTCATTAGGGGACCTTTTTAAAAACGCCCTTTTTTTCTATGTTAAATGTTCCTTAGTACCTACTACATTTAAAGTAAGATTTGAGGCTGTTGATATATCTGTATTGATTAAGTATATAGTTGTGAACTTATTAAAGTGAAATAAACAAATGAGACTATTATACGTTCTTTTTTATTTTTATTGTTCCTTAAGTGTCCGGTTCTCGGGGACCACCCCCTAATAGTTTATTTTCAGTTTTATATTGTTTAAACTTTTAAATCATAACTTCTAACTAGAACATATAGTTAATGTAATAAATCTCGAGTGAAAATAAATGTAAAAAAAAATATTAATAAGTATATGGTATGATAGGTGGTATGTTCATGTTAACGTGCAGTTGTGACATTGATTAATATCAAAAATACGACAGGCTTAATGTCGTACGAAATAAAAATGTTAACGAAATAAAATCGCATGCGTATCACGGATTGACTTAATAATATGATTATGTATAACCATGGTATAATCTGATCGTGATCATAAGATTATAATTTTTTTTTAAATGAAGTTAGTTTTATATTTTGTTTAACTACGTTATTTTATTCCAATTAGAAATTATATACATTTAAAGCCTATGTAACATTGTATTTTATTTTAATCTTCAATATTAAAAGATTAAAAATAAATATTAAAAATTATTCAATATTAAAATTATTATTATGTTATAAGATTCATGAAAACTAAAATGTAAAAAAAAGTAAATAGAGAACTTTCCTTTTTTTTTAAGTATCGGGGGAGGTGTAGTGTATGTGCCTCCACCCTACTAGCATATGTTAATAAATGTACTTACTCTTAGGTTTAAGTGACAGTATAATTAAAGTCTTGAGTAGAGAAATATGTCTTCCTTTCATTTACCAACCGTTCAACATTACAGTATGAAGTTGGAATACTGTATAGATAAAATTACCGTGATTGTACTGAAGTTCTGTAGGCATTGGCTTGGTGTAGCGTTGCCAGGCATCCGGATAAAGCCGGACACAAACAGGCTTTTTGATTGCGTGTCTGGCCAAATTAGACGCTGTCCGGCCTGTCCGGCTTTTGTCAGGCTTTTTATATTTGACCATTTTTTTACATTTTTCAAGTACTTAAATACATACTATTGCAATTATTGAAATTAATATTGTAATAAATATTGAATGATTAATAATAACACTGCTTCATTCCATATTAATTTATGGTAAATGATAAAAGCATTGTTTTACTTTTATATATATATATATATATATATATATATATATATCTGAACCGCAGTAGTAGCACACATGCACATACCTTCATCCGCAACATGACTCGTTTGTCAGGTCGCACTTTAGCTGAGACGGTTGGTGGGACGGACACCGGGGCGGGTCGCCTCGCTGCAACCGCCCCGCTTCCCGCCCCCGCTCCGCTCGCTGCACTGGCTGTGGCCCCAGACTTGTGCGTCAGGGGAGGTGGTTCTAATGGTGGTGATGATGTTTTGCGGCAGTTCTGTGAAGATAAACATCACATAAACACATCTATAGTACAGACGGAGGCAAGGTGCGCGCTCACCTTGCACAGGAAGTGTAGGTGCTGTAGAAGCACGGTCGGTGCAGGCGGAGGCAAGGTGCGCGCTCACCTTGCACAGGAAGTGTAGGTGCTGTAGATGCACGGTCGGTGCAGGCGGAGGCAAGGTGCGCGCTCACCTTGCACAGGAAGTGTAGGTGCTGTAGAAGCACGGTCGGTGCAGGCGGAGGCAAGGTGCGCGCTCACCTTGCACAGGAAGTGTAGGTGCTGTAGAAGCACGGTCGGTGCAGGCGGAGGCAAGGTGCGCGCTCACCTTGCACAGGAAGTGTAGGTGCTGTAGAAGCACGGTCGGTGCAGGCGGAGGCAAGGTGCGCGCTCACCTTGCACAGGAAGTGTAGGTGCTGTAGAAGCACGGTCGGTGCAGGCGGAGGCAAGGTGCGCGCTCACCTTGCACAGGAAGTGTAGGTGCTGTAGAAGCACGGTCGGTGCAGGCGGAGGCAAGGTGCGCGCTCACCTTGCACAGGAAGTGTAGGTGCTGTAGAAGCACGGTCGGTGCAGGCGGAGGCAAGGTGCGCGCTCACCTTGCACAGGAAGTGTAGGTGCTGTAGATGCACGGTCGGTGCAGGCGGAGGCAAGGTGCGCGCTCACCTTGCACAGGAAGTGTAGGTGCTGTAGAAGCACGGTCGGTGCAGGCGGAGGCAAGGTGCGCGCTCACCTTGCACAGGAAGTGTTGGTGCTGTAGATGCGCGGTCGGTACATTCGGAGTTAAAATGCGCGCGCTCGCTCACCTTGCACAGGAAGTGTTGGTGCTGCAGCAGTGCGGGCGGCAGGCCGGCGCAGGCGGGGTGGTACAGGCACAGGCAAGCAACGCACGCCAGCGACGGCACGGCTCCGCGCCCACACGACATCGAGCACGGCTGCACCACCTGCTGCGGGTTCTGCGCCGGAATCAACAACACAGGTACAAACATGCTTTGTATTTTAATGGATTACTTAAGCCAACACGAAGATAACTGGGACACTATTCATTTAAAGTGACGCCGAAACCGAGCCAAATCCATGCTCAATTTATTGTAAGAAGAAATTTTAGATGCATATATCCGTATTTCCAGCGTACCTTTGCATGTTGTTAAAGAAAAAAAGAAGAAAAATGTTTGCTCACCTAGTGCTTGCCAAAAATTTGAGCATAGTTTAGGCGTGACTCAGTCTTCCGTCCAATCTTTGTTGTTCGGAATTGTATTAAAAGTATAAAGACAAATTTCACATATCATTGGATTTGATTTATAAGAAACTGCTGTAAAATTATGCATTCATTACCGATAAAAAAGCAAAACTGGTGAACCAGCCACACCTACGTTACATGCACTAAAAATATGCAGACAAAACAATGATTAATTACTAATACTATTATAAATATTATATAATATTAATAAATAATAATGGTTCACTTTGCATATAGATACAGGGTTATTTTGTAATGTATGCCCACCAACAACATTTGCAGAAAAAGCTCAGATTAAGTAATATTAGCGAATTGTAAAAAAATAAAACTCAAACGTTTTGCCCTTATCTTTAAAATTCAGAATGCGTAGTAATGCATTATTTTAACTGATTGTCATTCATAAATATGTAACGCCTTCTGCTTTACCACGCACGTAGACATTCGTAAGGGTCGCTGGATTCCAAATGTCGGTACCTCGTCGCGCATCTTCACGCGCCTTTCCCCGGCCGATGGCTGACAGTGTTGACCGTGACCTCATTAAGTATCAGTGAGTTATTTTTAAACTTTCGTAGGTAATTTCGCTTCGTTACCAATGACGGAACAAAAATATTCAAAACGCGAATACTATGAAACTATTTTTTTAAACGTTACACCCACACTAGAATTTTCTCCAGTATCGTGGGGGCAGTTTACAAACATAAATTGCACAAGGACAAACATCCAGACACGGAACAATTATTTGTAGGTCATACAAATATGTGTTCCGTGCGGGATACGAACCCGCGACCCCCAGCGCAACCACTCATTGCTAAGTCACTGCGCCACGGAGCCGTCGTTAAAAAAATTATTAAGTACGGTAAAAATTTTAAGTAATGAAAGTTTATGTGGTGCACAAAGATTATACGAAAGTGAGTCTTTACCGCATCACGATCATCCAATCTACATCTACCAATCGAAGAACAATTGACATCTAATTAAACTTCTCAAGTGCAGTGAGCGATAGTTTAAACATTGACTATAAAGATATGTGGATTGCGCATAATGGCCTTATTATAATTTTTTTACATTAGACCTGCAAACTCGCCGGACTTTTCACCATTAGACTTTTATCTGTAGGGTGAAATAAAGAGTTGTGTTTACGTCAGATGCCCAAAGTTATGAAGATCATAGCAATAACATTATTGCCGTATACTGAAGTGCTCAAGCACAGGTACTATTACCTGTGCTTGTTAATATTGAGATGTTCTTAAAATTTATGATATTCACTGCGATTGCGCCTGGCGAATGGTGATGAAGCAGTCATAGATGAAAGTGGGCTAACATTGCAGTTTTTATTATTAAACCGTATAAATTAAAATAAACACAAATAGTTTTAAAGAAAATATAAACTTCCAAATTGTAAATTAAATAAATTATTAATGTTGTACATACTGTATTTTTTACTCTTTCTTGACAGCCCTAAGTAACCACGGAAAAATAGCCGTGATGTAGGAAGGGGAAAAGATGCAAAATAATACGGACACTCGTGCGCAGCAATAAAGGTTTATTTAGCTTGCGTGCGCAATTTATCTTATTAATAATAATAATGTAGGCTATTAATCGTCGGCAAACAGTCAACATCAAAAGAGTGTAACTTCTAACGTAGTACTATTATTTATTCTGTGGAGTCAGTAAGAAAATGAACAGTAGGCAAACATTTTGTGAATGTGAATTGAATCGTACACATAGGAGCGCGCGTAGGCGTTGTTGCCCATAAATCACATTCACTTTGGGATAATTTCTAATAAAAGTTTGCCTTATTTACTGGTTTTCAAAAACTGCAATAACGGTATATCATTATTATGTATATATTTGAACTTAAATATAAAATTTGGATACTCTTTAAAAAATGACCTTGTATAAATGTTTGCTTTCAGACCCATTTAGAGTAAGGGAAATGTCAAAATCATCTATAGACTTTCGACAGATGACGTACTATCAAATCCTGGCTAATTTGGGAAGAATATTGTAACAGTCCACTGTGACATTAGCCTACAATGTTAGAGACAAATGGAGAAGCAGTAGGTGATAATGGTAGTAGCATGATACCTGTACAGCAGTATCGGCGGGCACCTGGAGCGGGCGGCTCTGAAGCGGCGGCGGCGGCGGCGGCGGCAGCGTGAGCGGCGGCGGGAGCGGGAGCGGGAGCTGTTGCGGCGGCGGCAGCGGTGGCGGCTGCGGGAGCGCCAGCGCCGCCGCCCTGGCCCCACACGCACACTACACTCGCGACCACTCAGTACCCGCACCAGGGGGGTTAATTGCACCAAGTCAATTAACCCCCTCAAATTGTGTACATGGTTAGTCACAACACCATTACACTCCTCTCATGCATGATGGTTTAAAAATAAAAACGACAGATCATTCAGTCCTCTTTATGTATAAGAATATATTTAAATATAACAATTTGTTCGGTTTTATAACAATATTCTAAGTACAAAAATTAAGTTTATGTATAATACATAAAAATCATTAAAAATAGTTCTTCTTTTTCTTCTTGTTTTTGGCTACACTAAAAATAATTCTGCCTATATTACGACAGTAAATTAATATTTACATAAATTATAAATAGTTCAATCCACAATTACACCTGCCTCTATCTTTATCGAATATAGATTTCAAATATTGCGTTATTACTTACTATTTTACCATTTAAATTGTTCCACTATACCCTGGTAAGTATTATCTGCACATGTAGCCCAACTTTAATTAACGAAGTTATGCTATAAAATCTCTACTTCAAAATTTTTATACTCACAACTATATGTTAATAAAGATTGAACTATTCATACATTGCAACTATAAATACTTAAAACAAGAATAACTTAAAATTACCTTAAGTACCTTAACACACATTTATAAACAAACATAACATATTTATGTATTCATGTGGTCGTATATAGCACCCTGCATTTTATACTAAGCCTAAAACTAAACCGTTCCTAAAAATATTGCAGTTACCTCATAGATAACTTCTTTATGATATATATTGTATAATATATATTAATTGAATGTACTCCGATATCTTACCTAGGTTTCTTCCAGGCAGCAGTGTTGTTGTTGTCCACAGCGTTAGCGGTAGCGGGGGCAGGAGAGGAAGCGGGGGCGGGGCTGGCAGCTGTCGCAGCTGTGGACTGCGGGCGCCGCGGCTGTTTGGGCACACTGGCAGCTGGAGGGGTCCCATTGTTACTTAAACGTGAGCCTACAGACTTCACCTGCAACAAAATTATTATTTTTATGAGTTAAGTTTATAAAAAATAAATTCTGTGTTTACACATTAATACTCTATGGTCTGGATCATGTTCCTGAACAGCTGCTACTTAGTACCATGTATATTTTTCTTTTCTTAATTATGTATCATCTTTAGGTATTATTTTATGTAACATATTTATTTATTAGCTATTTTAACCTTGCTTTGTTTTAATTTTGTAGTACTTTGTAATGCTGTATCACCTGTAACGGTGCACACATTAGTTCCTAGATTAAGCCTACTTACAATAAAAATGTAATAATGTGTGCACTGCTGGTATCCTATGAATAAATAAATAAATAAGTGTCATGGCAAGGTAAGTCATTTAAAACAGTTAAGACATTTTAACTACGTAAATATTTAAAAATCCAAAAAAATTCAGTATTAACCTTGATTTTAGCAGGTGGTGACTTTGGTGTAGCTGGCTCCGGGCTGGCACCTTTGGGAGGTTTGGGCTTCGGCGTCCGCTTGCCTTCTATCGTGGGCGCCGCAGGAACTGGGACTGGAGACTCCACGCGACGCATTAATTTAGCATCTCTGGGAATAATCGAAATAATTTGTATTAGCATATTATACTAGTGAAGATCAAAAAGTTCACGAAATGAAAGGGAATGAGGGTGAAATTAAACATGAAATCATTTTTCCTTTTTGAAATACTTTCTATTAACTCAAATAAATACACATAGGCAGACCGTTCAAATAACTTATTTATACCTTTGAAAAAAAAATGTTTCGTCAAGGTCCTTAAAATAGGCAGAAATTGCCTACGTCACTTCTTTGTAATCTGTAATTTTCTTTTCCCGAGGCTCTTGCATATTTGGGAACAAATAACAATCCAGAGGCTAAATCTGAACTATAGGGAGGGTGGTTTAAAGTTTCTAATCCGCACTTATATAAGGAAACCATCACAAGTTGACTTTTGTGAACGGGTGCGTTGGTTGTGCAAAGTCGTCTTGTGCAACTCGAAACCACTTTCCCCTTCTTTTTCCTTTAAACGCATCTTTTAACTTTTCTAATAGCATAGCGTAATACTGTCCCGTGATACTGACACATTTATCTTTATTTTCAATCAATAAAATCCCCTCTGGACCCCAATAAACTGAAGCCATAGTCTTTCCAGTCGATTGTAATCTTGAACTTCTTTAATTGATTGATCGTCTGAGTCTCTGTCTTGTTTGAAACGGCTATACCAACTATAAACCATCGTTTTTTTTTTCAGGGCAAGAGTCCAAGTCCAAGAGTAAACAGATGCCATTTTTTCCATAATCATATTTGGCGTTTTTCGTCGCTTAGTGAAGAACTTAATCACGGCACGAAACTTAATTTTCTACATAGTTATTGTTCACTTCCCGATTGACATTTTTATTCTGTGATATCTAAAAGGTTAATGAACCGATCTAGGTGAAACTTAGTATTTATAGTTGAGTCTCCAATTCTCCAACCCTTCCATTCCGCGAACTTTTTGAATCGCTTTCGTAGTTAAATACCACTTAAATAATTATTAATAGTGATACAAAAAATATTTCTCCCTTTTAGAGGATTAATTGGTAGTAACTGGTACAAGGTACGAAGTTCACAAAATGCAAATCTTAATACAATCAAATTTCAAAAACTACCTCGTTTATAATTCGTTTCAGGTTTTTATTTTTATATAAGTATATTAGTCGGTGGGGGGCGTAGTGACGTAACCCACAAAAATAATACGTAAGTGTTAAGTGCAAAATAAGCGAGTCTACTTATAGTTATCAAACCAGTCACAGGCAATAAAAAGGTCTTTAATCCGTCTTACGGACTATCATTTAAAAAATACTAGAAACGCTATTAACATTACTTATTCAAGAAAGCTTAAAACGCTTGTGTTAGGAGTGGTAATCGACAGTAGACGAATGTCGAACTCGAACCATGATTTTTTATGTTTGCAATATGTATCTTTCGCAACACTATTACCTAAAATAATAATTTAAACATGTTCAATAAATGAAAAATGTTGTCGTGAAAACTCACCGTATAATTTCCTTCTCAGGATCATCCACACCAAGTGGTTCTTTGAAGAAGGAAAAGTTTTCTAAAGTTAGACCAGTTCCTGCTAAATTCTCGGCAACCTAAAAAGAAATATTTCATATAATTTGAATGATTATTAAGGTTCGCAGAGGCAAGTTTAAAAAACACATTTAAGTCTGGTTTAGAGTCTAAGAGAACTAAAGTAAAGTGGGTTTAATATCTAAAAGAAAATCAGGCTGGATAAATGTTCATGTATACATGTTCATGTCTGGAAAAAAATAGTGTAACATATGAACGAACAAGGAGGCCTAATGGCACTGATATTTTAGAAATAATAAAAACAAACTTTTTGAATTAAAATAAATTAATTAACTAAAATTTATCGAAATTCAAATCACATACACCCTAGCGTGTGACCCTCTGAAGTGACAAGGTCAAAGATGTCTACTAAATTTATTGTTTTATTAGCGTTCGTAATGTAAGGTAAGAAAAAAAAACAAAACCCCGAGCATAGCCCTCTCTATAGCTCACTGAGCGACCTTGAGCGTCCTCATACGGCCTGCAGTGAAGGACCACGTCTCAGATCCATAAGTCATCACTAGCAACACGCACCTGACGAGAAGATGTGTCTAATTTAAATATAATAAATAATAATTCCCGAACGCTGCCTAGCCGAGTTGAATCCGTCGATTGACCTCCCGGTTGAGTTGGACTTACCTAGTCGGACTATTTATCCCAGGTAAACATATTCGTCAAGTACTTCGAGCTTAGTGCTCCCAACTACTGCCGGTATAGAGGTGACATGACATTACATATGATCTTTGTTTGGCCATGTTCATATTAAG